TGTTGGAATTATTTCTGCATCAATGATCAGTTGCATGAACCATTTCTGAAGTGTATCCTTGGCTAGAGTTTCTCTTAGTTATTTCTTTTAATTAATTATTTTCTGCAGTTAATTTATTTAGTTAGCATTTAATCCAAAACCCCCCATACTTTGGACTCTAGAAGAAACGAATTATCCCCAGTCCCTGTGGATTCGACCCTACTCACCGCTATATACAAAATCTGTATTTTTCTCGAGTAGGTATTTATTATTACACAGATTCGGCACCTGTCAATTTTTGGCGCCGTTGCCGGGGACTGGTGTCAGATTAATTTGTTTCTTTTTTTAGTTCACCTTGTTTTCATTTTCAATTTATTTATTTTTTTTTTATGGCTGCTAACATTCCATATTTTGATAATAGACTGGACTTTGTTCCTGAATGGTGTTATGAGACTCACGTGTTTCCTAATGATCAATGGGATAGTGCAAATTGTGGAACTTATTTTGACTCAGGTTATTCAACTGACACATGCCCCGCATTTCAAGATAATCTAAGTGCTCCAATTGATACTTTTGGAGATTTTCCACCCCAATATCAAATGCAGTATGACCCTTATACAAACGGGTATGATCAAGGATGGTGGGATAATTCCAATTTTGATTATGCGACCGGGCCAATGGATTTTCAACAGCAAGAGTCTCAACAACCATCGTCCTTGTCAGGTATGTCTTTTCAGGAATTGGGTGAATTATTTATTAATACATACCGATTCCAACAGGAGACACAAATGAGGAATGAGATGATGAAGGATCCAATGAGTTATCTGGCAGATCAACTATGTCTATTGATATCCAGAATGAATCGATTGGCTTCTCAAATGGAAGAATTGTCCTCGGAAATCATTGTTGATTTTGAAGAAAATGAGAGTGCAATTTGCTTGACTAGTGATGAGGAGATGCAAGAGTGTCAAAATGAAAAATCTACAGATGCAGTTGAAAAAGAAGCCGAAAAGGAAGAAATGGAATCCCAACCGCAACCCATTCAAGTGAATGAATCCAATGAACAATCTCCAAATGCGGTGACATCTTCTCCACTCCTTAATCAATATTTTCCTGACTCCTATTCTTCAATTCCTGTTACTGAAATTGATTTTATTATACCAGAAAATTTGAAATTTCATGACAGGAATAAATTAAGAGTGGCAATGGAAAAATATCTTGAACCGAAGAATGCATGTGATGGAGGAGTGAATGGAGAATGCAAATTATCGTTGACTTGTTTAGCACCATTTACTTGTCCATGGAAGCCCGCAATTCGTGTGCTCAAGGATTACTCCATCTATGAGGGTTACCAGGATCACATTGAAGATGAACCATTGAAGCGAGCCACAAGATTTTATCCTCCATGAACAATCATAGCATGTCTAGCCAAAGACATTAAAGAAAGGCGCTTTTTGGGAGGCAACCCAAATATTGATTTTAATATTTTTCGTTGTTCATTTCTTTCGTCCTAAATATCAATGGATATGGAGCCCAGTATGAAATTGCTTGGAAATGCAAATAGCCAAATACTATATATGGAGTAGGAGTTCAAGGGTTCAAATCTTGCCTTTTACCAAGCTATATATGGAATAGGAGTTCAAGGGTTCAAATCATTTAAGCTCTAAGATTAACACTTGTGCCTTAGACATCACAATGGATGATGAACTCTTGTTTCCTCAGTGTCAAGTACATTGAATGTAAAGTTAACTCGAGTCTTTACTCGCAATTGTATATCTTTTGAAAGCAATATAATCAAATATCGTTTTGAGGAAAAAAAATTAGGTTCCCTCCCCCTAAATTAGATTATACAAATGTTATGATTGTGATAAAAAAAAATTGCAAAGTAGGTCCTAGCTCCGTGTTTCTGCCCCACCAGAGAAAATTGGGCAATCATAAGTTTGAACTGGCTTTTAGCGCGGACTGACCACTAAGGAGTGGTTTTCATGACGCGGTGTGTAAGCTTTCTGCTTTTAATGTTTTCTGACCAAAATTGATAACTTTCTTTTTTTATCTTGATTTATCAGACATATTCTTTGTTAAATGGGAATGCAATTTAGGGTGACTCTAAAGAACATATTTTTTTGCATCATTTGTTATGTTAAAAATACGACATGAGAATTTACAACGGAACTAGTACAATAGACTTTTAGAAAGTTTTCCACTTAGGTGGTGTGATGTTGAGGAAGCTTTCCACTTTGATGACAATGAAAGCTCAACATCCACACTTCTATCAATACTTATCCGACAAAGCAGTCCAACTTTGATATGTTTTGTGATATGGAAACTGCTCTTAAAGTATCATCAAGCAAAACAACGATGACTTTGGTACAAATTAAAGACCAACGACTCTTAAAAGTCTACATAGGTCTACCTCAAAAGAAAAAGGAAAAAAAAAAAAGAGTTTCCCTGAAGGAAGGAAAGTAGTCTAGATTGGACATGCAAAAGTTTGCGTTCAGAGTTCGTTAATTAGGAAAGAGAAACTTTACTAAAGAGAAAAGTAAAGTAGCGAAGTCTTCCTCACTAAAACCTTTTTGACTACTAAAGCCCATTTTCCAATTAGACAATTAGTGTGGGAATTGTGAAAAGCTGCACCTCGGTCGAATTACTCAACTTTATTAGAATTTTTGGAATTAGAATTTTTGCTCTTTTAAAAACTTTTTTATTTACTCAACTTTATTTTCGCGTTACCATCAACTCGGGCTTACAAGAAAAATACACTATTCTGCAAAACGTTGACAACGGAAAGAGTAGATTAGAAAATAATTTAAGGAACAAGGACTCGGCATTCAACTATTCAAGTCGAGTTTTGCCTTCCTCAGAATTCAAGATTCAGCTGCCAATAAAAGAAAACGCATGGTTGGTGGAATAGTGTTGATACTCCACAGATCACTCCAAATTCGAGGGTCTAAAACTTAAGTGGAAAAAAGAAAAGAAAGAAAAATGGGAATTCTATGCGTGTTTTTCATTAAAATAAAGATAATTTCTTATAACTATATTTAGTTCGTCATACATCGCCATAATGATGTGGCTCTGAATTTACAATATAACTTATGCATAAGTAGACTTACTAACTGACTAATTTTTTTTTTCTTTTTCGCTCTTGGAGGCTAAAATTTTCATTTATAAATCTATGTTGGACTGCTTAAAAGAAATCATCAAAAGTCTAGACTAGACTCCCTTAGAGAAAAAAATGGAAAAAAAATCTAGTTTGAAACCCTAGATCCTACTCTCTTTAGTCTTTACCAACCTAAAGAGCCCCTTCTCCGTTTGCTACATATATCCGGCTCCTCGTCTTCTTCTTCTTCTTCTTGTTAAATTCAGTCAGCCAACGTTATGCTCCCACTTCAGATTTTGGTAGTTTTGTTGTCCCTATTCTTGATTTACTTCTTGGTGTCCGGGTTCTCATTTAATTCTTTTATAGATGACCATTGTGATGTACCAGTTCATTATTCGACAGACACCAGCTGTGACCATAGTCCATCCACCTGCGGGGGCACGACATCAATTTAAAGTGCCCATATCAATTTAGGGATGATGATCCAGATTTGTGCCCTGAATTCAATTTAGGGGTTATTGAATTCTCTTGTGAAAGAAATCGCCCTGTTCTATCCTTGAGTAGTGAGACACCCTTGAGTGTTGGTTCCTATCCGGAGATACAACAGTATAACTTTTCTGTGGAGCTAAACAGTATTGATTATGAGCAACAGACACTTCGTATATTTGATCCTGGGGTGCAAAAGAACAACTGTTCTACTCTGCCAGTTTACTCATTCAAGCCAAACGGCGACTACTACCGTCCAGCTGGTACGGGTTATGACATCTACATTGCTCCTGATACTGGTTCGTTGGTCTTTGTGAGCTGTAAAAATCCTGTGAAATCGAAAAATCCTCTTTATGTAGACACTGCTTCCTGTAATATCACTGCAAATCATTTTTCAAAAATGAAAGCTCCGTCCAATTATTACAGCTATGTTGTGGTTGGTGAAAGTGTGGTGGCATCTGACATTGAAGAGTCGTGCACTGTCTATAAGACAGCTCCTGTAGACCTGTGGTGCCTCCCTAATGTAACAGCAGGAGATATTTCGTTTCAAGACATCCACAATCTTCTGTCTAATGGCTTTGAGATCCGTTTGGAGGCATTCTTGGAGAAATCGTTTTTTTGTAAGTACACTGATTTGAAGATTTATTAACATCGTGATTGATGATTGATTATGATGATCCTTTAAAAGTATTCAGTACTACTGCTTGAAACATGTTTTTGGGAAATTAATGGCAAATTCTCCTTTGAATAGTGCAATTCTTACTCCAATCTTTGGTATGCAGTGGTATCTTTGGAGGCTAAATATTGTAAATGTTTCAAATTCATACATCATATAAGTGTAAATGTTTAAAGTAGAATTGATTAATGCATTGGAGGTGTGGGTCTAGACTTTCAAATGTGGATTTAGACAAGCTGTTATAAATCTTATGACATTTGGTGTTTACAATCAATAGCAACTAATAAAATGAAAAATTCATGTAAATGTACACCAAAATATGCAAGAAAAACAATAACGGTACATAACCGTACCCGCTCCGATTCCCCTAAATCATTTGTTTAATTTGGAAACTAATTACGTGAATTTTTTTATTTTTCTTTTTTGGGAATGAGAGTACCAGAAATCTTGCTACTGCTATTTTGTCCTTACTAGTTGTCTTTATCGCTGTGTATATTCTCACATAGTTTTTCATTTGATTTTTTAAGTATGAAATCAAGTCAAATTAGAATACTTGGATTTTAGAAATGTTATTTGTTTCATGATCCTAACAAACACATGAATTATTGAATTCTCATTTGAATTTATTCTCGTAGTGATTTGAAACTGGTACACACATGAGGGTGAATTAATAGTAATTAATAAAAGTTCATTTTCAAGTATCCAATTGGACATTGACTTTGACTTTTCTCCTTGGGCGATGTAGGTCCCCTAGTAGAAGCAATCCTCGACCGCGTTGACACATTCGGAAGTGAGTAAACTTGTTTCTTTCGTGTGCAAAAAAACCATTCTTAATCAGTCGGATTCTTTCTAATTCCGTATTTCCATTATAACCTTTTTTCTTTCATAAGCAGCTGGCGTGGGTTTTGCTGTCAAATTTTTCGGTAAGGCATCTGATTTATAGTCGATAACTCTATCCATTGGCCGTGTATATATATATATATATACACTAGAAGTCAATCATAGCTAAGTCTTCTTGTTCTCTTCCGAGATTTCAGTTCTACTCATTACGGCAAAAAGTGTCCTTGGCATTGCCATCTTGTCTGCGTTCCTGCTTTATAGGTGGCATCGGAGGCATTTATCGAGGTATGATATAATAGAAGATTTTCTACAATCAAACAGCAGACTCATGCCCATTAGGTACTCATATAGAGAAATTAGGACAATGACCAAAAATTTTGAAGAGAAACTAGGCGAAGGAGGCTACGGTATGGTTTACAAAGGCAAATTGCGCAGTGGAGATGCTGTTGCTGTCAAAATGTTGAACAAATCAAAAGCTGATGGACAAGAGTTCATCAATGAAGTTGCAACTATTGGACAAATTCACCATGTGAACGTGGTTCGGTTGGTAGGATTTTGTGTTGCTCCCTCGAAACATGCCCTAGTATATATGATTACATGCCAAATGGCTCTCTAGATAAGTTAATTTTCTCAGATAGTAAAAATGGTCATCCCTTGAGTTGGAAGCAAACTTGTGAGATTGCAAAGGGAGTTGCACATGGGATTGAATACTTGCATCAGGGGTGTAGTATGCAAATTCTGCATTTTGATATTAAGCCGTATAACATCTTACTTGATGAGAACTTTGTTCCAAAAGTTGCAGACTTTGGACTCGCAAAACTTTACCCGATGCAAAAGAGTATTGCAACTCTTTCTGCCATGAGAGGAACATTTGATTACATGGCCCCGGAACTGGTCTATAAAAAGATTGGAAGAGTCTCAAACAAGACAGACGTTTACAACTATGGAAAGTTACTAATGGAGATGGCGGGAAGGAGGAGAAATGCGGATAAGCATGCTGAGCATTCAAGTCAAATATACTTCCCTTCATGGATTTATGACAAATTCGATCAAGTGGAGGAAATGGAAATCGGAGATCATGCAACTGAAGAAGAAAAGACAATTACAAGAAAATTGATTTTGATTGCATTGTGGTGCATACAGATGACACCTGCGGATCGTCCTTCAATGAGAGAAGTCTTAAAAATGCTTGAAGGTGATGCTAGTGACCTAAAGTTGCCTCCTAAACCGTCGTTTTACCCTCCAGATTTACCCATATCCATGCAAAGAAGCAGCAATAGTAGTTCTTCTGACGAGTCAACGGCACCCTTATGTAGCTCTGTTGCTTTAGAAATAGAGCAGATGGATGACTAAATAGTACCCCTGTGTACTTTCAGTGAAAGCTTTGCCTAGTAGATTTGTCTTTCAAACTCTCAAATGTACCAGATATAACATGGCAAACTGAAATATCAGTTTGGTATCAATAAACTGAAGGGTAGCACCTTGATATATGCTTCATATATAATAGCAATACCAGCATCAATCTTTGAGTTTAACATAAAAATTTCTACAAATGAGCTCCAACACATATTTTTTTCTTAAACTATTATGTTATCTAAAACAGCGAGCAGCATATCTAAATATTTCCTCCAAATTCGTAAGATCGATCCTTTCCAATAGTGTTGCTGTTACTAGTCAAATTGTTAGTTTGACATAGCCTTGAAGCCATTTTTCCTTTGAAACATGTCGTTCATTTTCATCGACGTGCAGAATAAGACATTTCCTGGATCCTGCCTGCTTGAGTAAGTGGAGGCGAATGCTACACGGTCTAGCTGATATACTTTTCAAATAATCATGAAGAAGAGAAATAGTGTTTCTTCTTGTACCTCCTTCTTTATGGTTCAGTTATTTAAGTTGAGGTTTTGTCGTGTTGAAGAATTCAAGTCAGTAAGAAGCATCACGACATTAAGTAACAACCATTGGCACCTTCTCTTGAGTTATGGATAGTTTAACTGTTATTGATTGCTACTGTCATTGTCTCTGAGTTCATATGATTTGATTACAAAAGTCAGTCATTGTGCCTAAGCTTTCAAGGGGAGTGCAGAGGAAAATGGAATTGCTGGCCATAGGGAGCTACTTTGTGTCATAATGATAAACGGTTCTGAAAAGATCTAAACGTCAGTTTTCCAATAAACGTTTTTAAAAGTTTTGACCTTAGAGAAAGAGATGACATATTAGGCTTTTATTGTGTTGCTTTAAAAGTCTTGGCTCAGATTTTATTGTGTTAGGAAAAATTTTCTTGATTAAATATTTAGGTCGTATCTTGCATCTTCTCTGTCTATCATACATGGGAAGAGAGAAACAAGAGAATTTTCACTAAGGAGGGAAAAACTACTCCTATATCATCTTCCAGTCCATCAGCACTGAGGTTAGAGCAGTGGTAGCTTCTTGGAAGAAGATTAAACTAACAAAGTATAGCATGGAATTTTGATCTTATATTCTTACCGTGAGTATTCTGTTTGTATAGTTGGTGACCTTGGGTGTTGTTTGTAATTACTAATTAGTGTACTTTGGACGGTGTTGTTGGTTTGGCCTTTTGCTACTTCTCATAATAAGCTCTGTTTTTGCTATACCAATAAAATGAATACCTTACCTAACAAAACAAATAGAGGTAATAAGGGGACAATTTTCTTTTTTTTTTTAAATACAACAATAACAACAAATGGAGTTGACCCAAAAAAAATAACAAAGTATAATAACTTGATTTTGTCAATAATAATAATTATAATGTTAAGTTTGGCCCAGGAAATTGACGAAAGGATTTTTGGCAACTCCCAAAAGACAAATAACAAAGAAAAATAAATACAATAGGAACACAGGAATTTACGTGATTCGGTCAAATTGACATACGTCCACGGGCGGAGGAGGAGCAATACTTTATTATGAAGAAGAGAGTACAAAAATGTCTTAGGAAAGTGTTCCTAGACCCAAAACACCTAATACTTAAAACACAAGAGAGCCTAAAAATATTTGACTAAACAAAAGGCTTAATGAGTCAAAGGCCCAAATAGCTCACTAATGCTCTTTTGGTTTGGCGTACTTAACCCTATCACAGACCCAATATATTTATAGGCAATTAAGGGAAAGGTTCCCTTGTACAAAAGGCAATGTGGACAATGCCACTTTAAGAAATCTCTACCTTGACGTGTCTCCAATATCGACAATAACAAAACTGCTTCACCTTTTTCACATAAGCCCCAATAGGCTTAAATCACCAACAACGAATACCAATCAAATTCAAGCATTGCTTGAACTTGTAAACTGGAAAAGGCTTTGTGAACATGTCAGCGATCTGAATTGTTTCAATTGACAATGGTGTGTATTTCAACAAAAAGAATAGACTGGAGATAAGAAAAATGACACAAGTAGTCAAGTTTAGATTGGGTTTCCTCAAAAAAGGGAAAAAAAAAAAAAGAGCATGTTGACTTAGTTCTTTACTCTGAAACAAGTTCAGCATTAGTTTTTAACATTGACCGGGTCAATCATTAACAGTATGTTGCAAGTTCAGATTTTGGTAGCTTTGTTGTCCCTAATCTTGAATTACAACTTGGTGACGTGCCTTAGATTTCATCCTTTCTTTAATTTTTTTTTTTTGGGTTCTGGATGCAGTAATAATTCTTCTATTGTGACTCTGTTGCTTTAGAAAATGGTGCTACTTAACTTTCTCATTCTTATTTTTTAGATTTTTTAAAAACTTTCTTATTCTTATAGCTATAGAAGTTATTTCTCTTTTTTTTTTCAAATATTATTTTGTTTGCTCATAAACATGTTTTCCAACTAGTTTTTTTTTTAATATTTCCGTCCAAGTTTTTATCTTACATACATCAACATCATACAAAATATTATAATAATTATTTCAAATAATATTTTGAATAATACACTATCCAGACACACTTTATGCATCTTCTACTTTGTTTTAATTTTTATTTTTTTGTATTTTATTCTTATTTTTGTCAATAAGATGAAATTTAAAATGTACAAACCAAGTAACAACACGTAATTCTAATACCACTAGCATCTATTTCCAAAATGAACACTATTGAAGTTTTGCATCTTTGTTACAAAATTATACAAATAACCTATAATGATAATTATTTGGTAAGATGGTTTTACACTATTTAGAAACGGTTATAAATACCACAAACTCTTAACTAGTTATACTCTTGATAAGAAAAACCTGATAGACATATGAGCATGTTAGGGTGTGTTTGGATGATGTATTTTTGGATGTTTATATAAAATTCTACTGTGACTTACTGTTCTACGCTAGAAAATTTTAATTTTTGTGTATTTGAGAGTTGAAAAAACAAACTTTCTTTTTTCTTTTTCTTTTTCTTTTCCTTTTTGTTTTCTTTTTCCTTTTCCTATTCTTTTTCCCTCCTTCCTCCCTCCCCACTGCCACACCCAACTCTCCCCGGGGCCGCTGATTCCGCCTCTCTCTCTTTCTTCTCCTCCCACTTTCTTCCTCCTCCATCCCTCCCTCCCTCTTCCTCCTTTCCCCTCCCCCATTCCCCCGTAGCCCCCTCCTGGAACCAGCAGGGGAGGGGATTTTTAATTTTCATAAACTGCAAATTTTAATTGTCATCAAAAGTATTAATGATAATAACTACCAAGTAAGTGCTAAAGTCTAGATTGCAATGCCTTCACATAACAGAAGTTTAGATTGGACTCCCTTAACAAAGAATGAAAAAAGAAAATTAAAGAATGAAAAGTCTAAATTGGGTGGCTAGTCAAAAGTCAATTGAGGTTAATGGTAAAGTTTTTCTTAATAAACAACTCCAGTAGTCAAATTTAGATTGGATTCCTATAAACCTTTACCGGGAAAGGAGGTTAAAATTTACTAGTTAAAGTGTATTCATTTGCTCTAAAACCTTACCAAGCAGCACATTTTCCTCTAAATATCCGGCTATTTTTAGTCAATCATTAATAGCATGTTGCAAGTTCAGAGTTTGGTAGTTGGCTACGCAAATGATTATCATACCTTCAATTCCAAACACACCGGTGTGACCATAGCCCATCTTCTTGCATAGGCACTGATGTCAGTTTAAAGCAGTGTTTTTGAAAATCGGACCGGACCGGTCGGTTCGACCAGTTGAACTGCGGACCGGCCGGGGCACCGGTCTAATTCTATGTTAGAGTTGACTTTGTCAGAAAACCGGTCAACCCGTGAAAAATAGCTGAACCGGATGAAACAGGTGGTTTCCAATTTTCAAGTTTCCCCTCTTTTTTTTTTTTTTTAAGTTTTGCAAAATACAGCTAGCAAGATTCGAACTCAAGACTTTTGTAATAGAAGACTAATGTAATAACCATTGCACCATCACATTTGATTAGCTTTTTTTGATAACTTATTTATATAAAATAAACACCCATATTTCTTTTTTTCATTTTTTTTACAAAATCTCATTCTCTCATGACTCTTTCTTTTTAATCTTCAACTCTCTCTCTCTCCTCTTTTCTTTTGTCACTCCCTTGTTAATCAAACCTCTTTAGTTTTAATTTATTGATATTTTCTTCTATCTTTTAATTTTATTTTTGTCCATTAAATTGAAAAAAGTTAAAAAAGAATTATTTTTCTTTAATCCAAATTATTTAATGCCACAACCACTTACTTTTATTTCATTTTTTGTTTTTTATCAAGTTTGCATTTCTATTTTCGATTCTCTTGATTTCTTTCAAACTCCAAACTTCCTTTTTTAAATTGCAATCTCTAAATCTCAAAAACGTAAATTAAAATTTAAATTCATAATGTCTAAATTCTCATAGACGTGAATTTTGTATAATTTCAAAATATTGTGATATTTTTGGTTTGGATTTAAGATTTTTTTGGTAGATATAATTGAAATTGAGATGAAATTTATTTGTTTTAACTTATAATTTAAAAAATTTATTTTTGAAAATTTAAGTTATTCAAAAATAGTAAACTTTTCATCATATAAAAATTTAAATTAGTCCATTGCATGTTTTATTTTGTGCATATATATATTGATATAAACTATTTTTAAAAAAATTTATTGAACCGGAGTCGAATCGTTCCGACCGATTGAATCTCGACCCTTTCACTTCACGGGTTTAATTGACGGTCCGGGTTTTAAAACATTGGTTTAAAGTGCCCGTTTCAGTTCAAAGGTAATCATGCAGATTTGTGCCCTTATGCTTTGGTGTTCTCTTGTGACCATAATCGCACAATACGTCTCTTAACAACGGTTATTGATGGGGAGGAACAACACTTTTATGCATATCTAGACAGCATTGACTACAGGAAACGAATACTTCATATATTTGATCCTGGAGTGCAAAAAGACTACTGTTCTACT